TAGGAATCCGCCCTGCAGGGCAGGGGATGTGGGTTCGATCCCTGGTGGGAGAACCAAGACCCCACTCGCCATGAAGCGACTAAGTCCAAGGGCCACAACAACTGAGCCTGCGTTCCAGAACTGGAAGATCCCACACAAGGCAATGAAGAGCCAAGAGCCACAGCTAACGCTCCATGCCACCGAACAAACATGAAACACTTTCAAACAATCAATCAAAGTAATACATATCGACAGGACAAAGAAGAAAACCCCAAGATCACATCAACTGATGCACAAAAAATCACTCAACAAAATTCAGCACACATTCATGATGAAAACTGAATTCTGGCTGAGTACACTTCAACCAGAGAGGAACTTCTTCAACCTCCTAAACGTCTGTGAGGACTTCACATCATGCTTAATGGTGGAAGAGTAAATGCTTTCTCTCTAAGATGGAAAACAAAGCAAGATTAAATGCTTTCTCTTTAAGATGGACTGAATTCTGGCTGAGTACACTTCAACCAGAGAGGAACTTCTTCAACCTCCTAAACGTCTGTGAGGACTTCACATCATGCTTAATGGTGGAAGAGTAAATGCTTTCTCTTTAAGATGGAAAACAAAGCAAGATTAAATGCTTTCTCTTTAAGATGGAAAACAAAGCAATCTTATTTGATGTAGTACTGAACATTCTTGCCACTCAGATAAGGTAAGAAAATAAAGGTTGAAAACAAACAGAAGAGAAAGAAATAAAACAGTCTTTTTACAGAAAGTATGACTGTCTACACAGAAAACTGTAGGAAATCTACCACAAAAGTTCCTGGAACTAATAACTGAATTTAGTAAGGTCACAGGGTATGCAATCAACTCAAAAATCAATTGCAGTAACCTCCTCAGTGGTCCAGTGGCTAAGACTCCACATTCCCAATGCAGGGGGCCTGGGTTTGGTCCCTGGTCAGCGAACTAGATCCCACACGACACAACAAACACCCAGCACAACAAATTAATAAAAATATCTTAAAAATAAATTGCATTTCTAAATTTCTAAAGTGGAAATCAAAATTTAAAAATGGAACACAATTTTTATTGCTTTAAAAAAAAAGAAACACTTAGGTATAAATCCTAATAAAACTGAATGCAGAGAATCTATATGATGAAAACTATAAAATACTGATGGAAGAAATCAAAGGGAATCTAAATACTTGAAGAAATCTACCACGTTCATGGATTGGAAGACAGTGAAATAAAGATGCCAATTCTCCCTCAATCGATATCTTGGTTCAACACAATTCCTACCAAAAATCTCAGTGAGTTTATTTGTAGATATAGATAAGCTTATTCTAAAAGTAACAGGAAACGATGAAAGCCCTAGAATAATCTAAAGGGTTTTCAAAAAGAAAACAAAGTGAGAAGAATCACTTTTCCCAATGTTAAGGTTTAATCTATAGCTGCAGTAATCAAGACAGGGTGAGACAGGCAGAGGGCAGTCAGTCAGTTCCGTCGTGTCCAATTCTCTGTGACCCCACAGACCGCAGCATACCAGGCCTCCCTGTCCATCACCAACTCCCAGAGCTTGCTCAAACTCATGTCCATCGTGTTGGTGATGCCATCCAACCACCTCATCCTCTGTCATCCCCATCTCCTCCTGCTCTCAATCTTTCCCAGCATCAGGGTCTTTTCCAATGAGTCAGTTTTTCGCATCAGGTGGCCAAAGTACTGGAGTTTCAGCTTCAGCATCAGTCCTTGCAATGAACACCCAGGACTGATCTCCTTTAGGATGGACTGGTTGGATCTCCTCACAGTCCAAGGCACTCTCAAGAGTCTTCTCCAACACCACAGTTCAAAAGCATCAATTCTTCCGCGTTCAGCTTTCTTCACAGTCCAACTCTCACATCCATACATGACTACTGGAAAAACCATAGCCTTGACTAGACGGACCTTTGTTGGCAAAGTAATGTCTCTGCTTTTCAATATGCTGTCTAGGTTGGTCATAACTTTCCTTCCAAGGAGTAAGCGTCTTTTACTTTCATGGCTGCAATCACCATCTGCAGTGATTTTGGAGCTGCAAAAAATAAAGTCAGTTACTGTTTCCACTGTTTCCCCATCTATTTGCCATGAAGCGATGGGATCGGATGCCATGATCTTAGTTTTTTGAATGCTGAACTTTAAGCCAACTTTTTCACTCTCCTCTTTCACTTTCATCAAGAGGCTCTTTAGTTCCTCTTCACTTCCTGCCATAAGGGTGGTGTCATCTGCATATCTGAGGTTATTGATATTTCTCCCGGCAATCTTGATTCCAGCTTGTGCTTCTTCCAGCCCAGTGTTTCTCATGATGTACTCTGCATATAGGTTAAATAAGCAGGGTGACAATATACAGCCTTGATGTACTCCTTTTCCTATTTGGAACCAGTCTGCTGTTCCATGTTTGGTTCTCACTGGAGGAGCAGACCCAGAGATCGATGGAGCAGAACAGAAAACCCAGAAACAGATCCACACAAATACGCCCAGTTAACATCTTAAAAATGAGCAAAAACAACTCAGTGGAGCAGGGATAGTCTTTTCGGCAACTGGTGTTGGAGCAACTTTAGCCAGTGAAATCCACTGGCTAAAAAATAAAGCCCAACTGAAACCCCAAGCCTTGTACAAAAATTAAACTCCAAATGTATCACAGACTTAAATCTAATATGTAAATCTGTAAACTTCTAGAAAAGAACAGAGGAGAAAATCTTTAGGACACAAGCATAGGGAAAGGGTTCTTAGACCCGTCACCAAAAACATAACTCATAAGGGGAAAAACTGATGATAGACTGGGCGTCATCAATAGAGAGAGATGGAAAGAAGCATTATGACTGGGAGACAGTGTTCCTGAGTCACACACCTGAGAAACTTTTTGCATCGAGGATATAGGAAGAACCCTCAAAACTCAAGATTAAAAATAAATCTGATTGGATAATAGACAAATAAGTGCATAGACATTTCACTGAAGAAGACACATGGATGGGAAATAAACACCAAAAGTATTCAGTATCAATAGCCATTAGAGAAATGAAAATTAACACGGCAATGATACATCACATCTACCAGAATGGTTAAAATGAAAACAGTTCTGAGGAGAAACTGGGCCATTCATATTTTTTGGTAAGAATGTAATTTGGTACAAGCACTCTGGAAAATACTTGGCAATTCTCTCAAAACTAAAAATGGACTTACCATACGACCCATAATTGCACTGTTGGACATACATCCCAGAAAAATGAAGACTTATTTTTATGCACGAACTTACATGGGAATGTTCACAGCACATTTATTTATAACAGCCCCAAACCAGAAACTATTTGTATCTCCTTCAAAGGCTTTCAGAGGCTGAAGGCTTTAACACACTGGTGTATCCACCCCACGGAATGGCATTCAGCAATAACAAAGAATAATCTGTGGGTACATGCAGCAACTCGAATAAACCTCAAGGGAATGATGCTGAAAGAAAAAGGCCGGTCTCAGAAAGGATATGCATGATTCCATCTGCACAATAATCAGGAAGTAACAAGATGGAGATGCAGAAGAGACGACAGTAAATTCCAACGTACAGACGAGTCCCGTTCCAAGAGCATGTTTGTCAGCCCCACAAAGTCGGCCTGGGCACCCACCACACTGCAGGGCTCAGTCGCCCAGCCGTGTCCGACTTTGCAACCCCATGGTCTGTGGCCCACCAAGCCCCTCTGTCCATGGGATTGTCCAGGCATGAATACTGGATTCAGTTGCCATTTCTTCCTCCAGGGGATCTTCACAACCCTGGGATTGAATCTGCATCTCCTGCGTCTCCTGCATTGGCAGATGGATTCTTTACCACTGTGTCACCTGGGAAGTAGGTCTGGAATGCTTTTCACTTGTTGCAACTAAGACCCAACTTAGCCAAATCAATAAATGTTGTTTTTTTTTTAAGTTTCCATTGGAATGGCTATTATGCTACCTCTGCTATAATTTTTTTCTTGGAATTTCCTTTCCTGCCCTGTAGATGCTTTGATATGGTCCTGCCCCGAGCTGGGCTTCCCGTGTGGCTCAGCTGGTAAAGAATCCGCCTGCAGTGTGGGATACCTGGGTTTGACATCTGGGTTTGGAAGATACTCTGGAGAAGGGAACAGTTACCCACTCCAGTATTCTGGCCTGGAAGATTCCATGGACTGTATAGTCCAAGGGGTCGCAAAGAGCCGGACACAACTGAGTGTCTTTCACTTGACCGTGCCCCCAGCTAGGCAATACCCTCCCCCCAACGCACAGAGACAAAGAAATAAGGGCAGCTCCGGGAGTAAAAGTCCCGCTTCACCAGGGCTTGGGGTGTCTTAGAGCCTTGGACCTATGGCTTAGTTCATAAGGTGTGGTCCTGTATCTCCCGTTTGCCTTCTGCTCATACGGAATAAGATCTAACTCAGGATGCTGCGTCCTCACCAAGTACCACCTATCTACCCCAACCCAAAGCTTACAGTGGTGGCTCCCTCAGGGGGTTATTCAGATAAAATGGAAAAGGAAGAAGTCCCCATCCAGTGACCTTTCTGAATTTATTTAAGACCCCATCTGCCAGGGATTCCCTGGAGGCCCAGTGGTAAAGAACCTGCCTGCCAATCATCCCTGGGTAGGGAAGATCCCCTGGAGGAGGAAATGGCTACCTGCTCCAGTATCCTTGCCTGGGAAATGCCATGGACAGAGGAGCCTGGTGGGCTGCAGTCCCTGGGGTCACAAAGAGTCAGACACGACTTAGCAAGTGGACAACAAGCCATCTGCCAAACACGGCTGTCAAATTTTTAGCCAACTAAGCTCAAAGGTACCCGTTCCATGTAGACTGACCAACTAAGATTGTTTCAGGTCTCAGAACTCTAAGAGTCCTTGGCCTCCCCACATCCAGGGGCTCTCCTTTCTAATAACTGCCTGCCCAGTCAAAGCATTACTCACCAGTCTGAAAAGGAACTCCATTCCCCGGAAACCTGTAAAGCGCAAGCATTTGGATTAAGACGGCAATCTTGCCAACTTACGTGGAACTGGTCTGAGGTTGTTCAAATGCTTCTTTGGGAATTTTAAGGCCAGGGTTTCGCTTCTTGCCTACAGGGAAAGATGGAAGGATAACATTAAGGTCTAAAAAATCACAGCGTGAGAGCAGGCACAGAGACGGCAGCGAAGAAATGATGGGATGGGAGCCCAAGCCTCATCCCTGCATTCAGAGCCCCGCTTCCCACCAGGAAGGCTGTGAGTGATGAGGCATAGTTGCCGGGCGGGGCAGAACTTCCGTGTGCAGACAGAGGTCATGGGTGAGGGCTTCCCGGAGTTCATGAGAGGTCCCCGAAGGATGCCAACTCCCTTGACCCAGGGAGACCCGCCTGTCCCTCTTCGCTGGGAGTTCGGCAGCCCAGCCTCCTGTATCCCCTCTTGTCCACGACCATGGTAGGTGGTGTTGGCTACAGGCTTCCCTTTATTGTGTCCATCAGGGCTTCCCTGGTGGCTCAGTGGTAAGGAATCTGCCTGCCAGTGCAGGAGACGCAGGTTCAATCCCTGGGTCGGGAAGATCCCCTGGAGGAGGAAATGGCAACCCACTCCAGTATTCACGCCCGGAGAACCCCATGGACAGAGGAGTCTGGCGGGCTACAGTCTGGTCGCAGAGTCAGACACAACTGAGTGACTAACAAGCAACAACGCCAGATCTCAGTCAAGTGCAGTCCCGCCTCTCTCAGCACACAGCACCGCCTAAACGGGTCTGTGATGAGCCGATGCAGTAAAGCAGGCAGGGAGAACCAAAATCCCCCTCTCCACTGCTCCGCCCTGCCCATTCTCAGCCACCTGCCATCAGTCACAATGCCTGGAGAAGGGGAGAGCATTATTGATTTACTTTTGCGCTGTTCCAAAGAGGATTAAGATAACAGAAGGGTTCATGCAAGGAGGCTGTCCCTTCTCTGCGAGCCAGATGGAAAGTAATCGATGTATTCGTTGTCCCTAGGCTGAAACCACAAGAGAACTTGGCTCCAACATTTCTGTTGATGAGTTTACAAGAACAGACTGAGAAATGCCAGCTCGAGATATGATCAAGCCAGTCAGTCCTAAAGGAAATCCACCCTGAAGCATCACTGGAAGGACTGATGCTGAAGCTAAAGCTCCAACACATTGGCCACCTGATGCAAACAACTGGCTCCCTGGAAAAGACCCCGATGCTGGGAAAGATTGAGGACAGGAGAAAGTGGGCGACAGAGGACAAGATGGTTGGATGGCATCATCAACCCTATGCACATGAGTGTGAACAAACTCTGGGAGACAGTGAAGGTCAAGGAAGCCTGGCATTTTGCAGACCATGGAGTCAAAAAGAGTCGGACATGGCTGAGTGAACAACAAGTGATCAGACCAACTCGTCTTATAAGGACCCAGGGTTTTCCCCACTAGCAGCGCCTGTCTCTTCACACTTGGAGGAAAGCCCAAAGCAGAGCTGACGGAACACGCACAGGTTTGCTTTCTCTCCCTTCCTCTGTTTGTAGGGACACTACAGGGCCAACAAAGCCCAACGAAGGCCCTGCCCAGAGGCGTGGAGGCTGTGCAGAAAGTGAAGAATCAAACCTGATTTCCTCCTTGCAGGAAAACTATCCGCAGACTTCAAGGACTGCTCACCATTAGACAGCCTCCGCAATGGCCTGGTCAGAATGAGAATCCAGGTCCCCAAACACCCATGTGACAGCTTTTCCTCTATTCCCCAGTGGATGCAGTGTAGAGGGGACCAGAGAGAATGAAGAGCGGAGGTATGGGATTCTGGGTCTGTAAAGACCAGCTTATACCTGGCTTCTCCACTTGCAAAGAGACTCCGGGGTCACTTTTCATCTGACCCTTATTATCTTCAACTATAATACGGTGTGTTAATAGTAACATCAATACCTACCTTACCAGACTGATGCCAGAACCATGGGATAACACGAGAAAGAGCAATGAAATAATAATAATTATAATCACTTCAAGAAACAATCTGCATGGTCTCATTAAAGAAAAGGAGTCACTGAAGAAACTCAGGAACAGAACTGGCTGGATTAGGAGCCCAAAGCCGGTGCTCTGTGACAACCTCGAGGGGTGGAACGGGGAGGGAGGTGGGAGGGGGTCAAGAAGAAGGGCACATATGTATACCTGTGGCTGATCCATGATGACGAATGGCAGAGACCAACACTATATTGTAAAGCAATTATCCTCTAATTAAAAGTAAAGGTTTTAGAAAAGAATTGATTGTGTTACCACATAGCCCCATATAACGAGACCTTTCTTTCTGTGCCTTCAAAATCCAAAACCCAGATTAATTCTGCCAAAGTGTATAAAGCCAGCAAGCAACAAGCTTGATGGTAGTCAACACAGAGAAAGCCTTTCTTATTGGAACACAGCTGCTTCATGATGCTGTGTCACTTTCTGTTGTTCAGCAGGGAATCAGCTGTATGTTTACACATATCCTCTCTTTTCTGGATTTTCTCCCCAGTTAGGTCACCACGGAGCAGCAGGTAGAGGTCCCTGTGCTATAGCGTAGGTTCTCACCAGTTATCTGTTGTATACACAGAATCAGCAGCCTATATGTCCGTCCCAATCTCCCAATTCACCCCACCCCCGCCAACAAATGTCTGTGTCTCCATCTCTTCTTTGCAAACAAGACCATCTCTACCATTTTTTTCTAGATTCCACATATACACGTTAATATACAAGATTTGCCAGAGAAAGCTATTCAGAGCCACCTTCATTGCAACAGGTCGTCTCAATTCTCTCCTAATTTAGATTTCCCTACACGTTTTTTAAGAATTCAAACCTCACCATTTACTTTCCTATTCCTGGAGCTCCTATGGCCATTTAATACACGTCACTGAGTTAATTCCTGACAATACACAGAGCTGTACTGTGCACCAGAAGGATGCTAAACGCTGGATCTGATTGTGAGAATCCATACAGATAAATGGCCTGATTCCAACAATTCCCATCCAGGGGCCGCAGTTAAATACACAGCGAAGGCTATTTTACTCGAGATACTCTAGGGAGGAGTGAACAAATGTAACTTGTCTGGATCACGACATACAGATTCCAATACAGGTGACCGATCCCAGCTGATACAGCCCTGTAGTTCTCCCAGATAAAACAAAACAAAATGAAACTAAAGTATATCTTGCCTGTGAAAAAACCTCTCCAGATGTCTTTTGAGCAAGCAACAGTTCTCTCCTCTTCATTCCTAACTCAGTTCCTACACCTCTCCTCTCCGTTTCTAACACAGCTCTTACTAGACAGACGTCAAGAAAGATAACTATTTATGGAGAAAAACACCTTATGGAAAACTTTAACATACCAATGAATTATTACATCACAGCAATGAATGATTAGTTACTTCCTTAACACAACTGACTCAAACTAAAACCCACCAAATCACCATATGAAGAAACAGCAAAAGAAAGAGGAAAAAACAAACAAACAAAAAAACCATTTCTGGCACAGAGACTAAAGAAAGAGATGGCCAAAACAACAATGAAGTCTTCTAGCCATAGGAAAAGAAGACCACCCCCCAGCCAACAAATGTCTGTGTCTCCATCTCTTCTTTGCAAACAAGACCATCTCTACCATTTTTTTCTAGATTCCACATATACACGTTAATATACAAGATTTGCCAGAGAAAGCTATTCAGAGCCACCTTCATTGCAACAGGTCGTCTCAATTCTCTCCTCATTTAGATTTCCCTACACGTTTTTTAAGAATTCAAACCTCACCATTTACTTTCCTATTCCTGGAGCTCCTATGGCCATTTAATACACGTCACTGAGTTAATTCCTGACAATACACAGAGCTGTACTGTGCACCAGAAGGATGCTAAACGCTGGATCTGATTGTGAGAATCCATACAGATAAATGGCCTGATTCAAACAATTCCCATCCAGGGGCCGCAGTTAAATACACAGCGAAGGCTATTTTACTCGAGATACTCTAGGGAAGAGTGAACAAATGTAACTTGTCTGGATCACGACATACAGATTCCAATACAGGTGACCGATCCCAGCTGATACAGCCCTGTAGTTCTCCCAGATAAAACAAAACAAAATGAAACTAAAGTATATCTTGCCTGTGAAAAAGCCTCTCCAGATGTCTTTTGAGCAAGCAACAGTTCTCTCCTCTTCATTCCTAACTCAGTTCCTACACCTCTCCTCTCCGTTTCTAACACAGCTCTTACTAGACAGACGTCAAGAAAGATAACTATTTATGGAGAAAAACACCTTATGGAAAACTTTAACATACCAATGAATTATTACATCACAGCAATGAATGATTAGTTACTTCCTTAACACAACTGACTCAAACTAAAACCCACCAAATCACCATATGAAGAAACAGCAAAAGAAAGAGGAAAAAACAAACAAACAAAAAAACCATTTCTGGCACAGAGACTAAAGAAAGAGATGGCCAAAACAACAATGAAGTCTTCTAGCCATAGGAAAAGAAGACCACCCCCCCACCCCCACCCCAGGTTCTCCTCTGACAAAAACAAGAAAACGCATTCCAGGAGACACAAAACCTGGTTGAATTACACCATCAGAAAACACCCTGCCTTCATGTTTTAGAAGCAGACCAAAGGAAAAAATCACAAAGGCACAGGCCAACACTCCTTAATTCACTTACCTGCCCATCGCTGGAAGAGCAATCCAATAAGAGACCAGCAGACGTGACTCTGATGCGGTTTTCAAGGCTGCAAAAAGCAGGAGCTGCAGAAAACCCCACCGCAGGCATTTTCACTCAGCTCCCCAGACCACAGGCTGGAGAGACGCAGAGCTGCGGAGGCTCCGCCCTCCTCCAGCTCTCATCACCCTAGACCTCCGCAAGCTCACTGCTTCCGAGAAGCTCCCACTTCAGCAAGCGAGGGAGACGTGCGTCCGTCTGGACGACCAAGGTGTGACGTTAATCATCAGCCAGGCTGGGAGGGAAAAACCGACAAAGTGGCCCTGGAGAGCCCAGCGCTCGGCCGCCTTTCTATAAAGGCCTCTTTCATTGCTTAAAAAAAAGGGACACAATACGCCGTCCGATTCCAGCTGTGTTTACTTCAAAGCAATCTGTTCCCCTTC